TTTGAGAGTTCTTTTACTTTCTATTTTCTCTCGAACGGCTTCAGAATATTCCGTGTTGTGGGCCGAACGTCTTTATGGGCCTCTTGTTAAGCTCAAGATTTGGGGAAGTCAATTTACTTTCATTTGAGGAAATCTTTTTCTGGTTTTTTGATTACCTATAATAGTATGGGCGTTTTTCGTGGCCACTTCCGTAGTTGTATTAGGCGGTGTTGATATAATTATACAAATAAAGAATGGGTTTTATGTATTAGTAATGAGGAGGAAACTTGATATTTTGAAGAGGTATTTAATTAATAATGGTTACCGACCCTAAAAAACTTTTTGAATTCCTTTTACACTGATTGTAGCGATTCACCAAACAGAATTAACCTTTATTAACCCCAAAAGCAAATGTGGTCAGCACTTTTTGATCACTTGTAATTACGATGTGATCAGAAAAATATTTTTTCTACACATGCGGTTTAACCTTTAATGTTCTCATCAACCTTTAGCTGGACTCGTTCCTTTTTGGGTCGCGTGAATGGTGGAAAAGATTGGCAATTTCTCTGCGCCATAAAATTAAAGCGTAAGCCAGAACAAGAGTTATAAATCTCATAAGCGATATCAATCCAGAAATTTGAGAGCTCTATTAGATTTATAACCAATCGAAGCGGGGTTTTTTTCTACTTTGGGTGAAAAGAAAGCGGATCTGACCATTAACATAAAGTTTTGATAAAGACAAAACACGGAATCACTTCGCAGACATCAAAGTTCTGTGATGGTAAAATGCTAAAACGATATTTGCCAGATTTATTGACAAATGGGTTCAGTTCGCTTTTTTTGGAACTGGGTCAAGTGATGATAAAGGGCTTTCGATTGAAGATTTGAAATATGCAAAGAAATTCGGCTGATAAAATAGTTTGATGGACACTTAAAGCTTCATTAAGTTGTTAGCGTTTCGCGTGTGTATATATGTGCGTTTAAATGCTGAGATGGATCTGTGGAGCGTGCTGGCCTATAAGAACCGTTAAAAGGCAAGGGCAGCCCATCAGTTTGCGTTTGCCAAGCGTTTGGTTCGGTTCGCCGGGAGTATGAAACTCAATCCGCCAGCTTCTCTGTTCCTTCTTGCCCTCATTTCGATCTGCTGCGATCGGAGCCGGGCCGTCTATAATTATAAGTCACCTTCCCGCGGCTACTTCTATCCGAAGCCAGCGCGACTGCCGCCTCTGCCAGTCAATGGCACTGCGACCACGACCACGACCACGACCGCGTCTTCCCATCCCGGACCACCGCCCGGAGTGCAATCGGACTTCATTGATGATCTGATCGAGGGCCATAAGCAGCAAATCTTATCGAACGTCTTGGGCGTGGCTAGCGAAACTCCCTCGGATCCGGCCTCCCCCGGCCTCCTCCTCCTCCCCCCTTTCCCCCCTCGAGGGCGGTGGTGCCAAGGCGTTCCGCGTTAATCGCTGTGCCAGCTGCAGTGAGTTGGGGAAATTGCAGTGCCAATCCAATCCAGCGGGGAATGAAACGATCCGGCTAATCTGGGGCTAATAATTGGAAATTTGAATCGGTTATTGTACGCCTATCGGGAAACGCATTACTTGCAAACGTGTTTGTGAAACGTGCTGTGAGCTTAGTCAACGACTTCATTGCCTTGGCTTTTCGCGTAGAAGAATTAAGCAAGTCAATAAAATGGTTTTAAGACGTTTCATTAAGTTCGTAATGAAAATAAGTGATTATTGCATCAAGTACAAATTTAAGTTAATTCGGCCTTTAACCTTAAAACCACTTTTAAATAGACACAATCTAAACAAAAATAAAAAAAACATAAAATTCCTCCCAATCCTTTATTCAGTTTAACTTCAAAGTAATTTTATTATGAGACTTACATTTTTTTTCAACGAACCTAACGTAGTTCAATATATTTTGGGTTCTTAATCAATAATAGAAAGTTAATAAATATTTCTATAAGAGATCCTATTATAAACACGAATTCAAAATTTTAGTCCAGCTAAACTCACAGTCTCTCGAAGCGTTTTAATAATATCGTTCAGATATAAATTAGTAATATTGCAGTTTCAGTTCTTATTTCTTCGAGACATCTTGGCATATTCAAATATTCAATAATTCAGGCACTATAACTTCCAGTTCCACCGCGTTTTCATTCCCTGGCTGAGACCTTTTTTCCACCAAAGACCACCCAGATTACAGATCCCATCGAACACATCGAATCCCATTTCCTATCCTCTTGCAGCCTGCGGCGTTCCCAATGTGAATCGCATTGTGGGCGGCACCCAGGTGCGGACGAATAAATATCCGTGGATCGCGCAGATCATTCGCGGCACCTTCCTGTTCTGCGGAGGCACCTTGATCAACGATCGCTATGTCCTGACCGCCGCCCACTGCGTCCACGGCATGGACATGAGGGGCGTGTCCGTGCGGCTGCTGCAGCTGGACAGGAGCTCCTCCCACCCGGGAGTCACCCGGTCGGTGGCCTTCGCCCATGCCCACGTGGGCTACGACCCGGTGAGCCTGGTCCACGACATAGCTCTCCTCCGCTTGGATCAGCCGATCCCGCTGGTGGACACCATGCGACCCGCCTGCCTGCCCAGCAACTGGCTGCAGAACTTTGACTTCCAGAAGGCCATCGTGGCGGGGTGGGGTCTGAGCCAGGAGGGTGGCTCCACTTCCAGTGTCCTGCAGGAGGTGGTGGTGCCCATCATCACCAATGCCCAGTGCCGGGCCACCTCGTACCGTTCCATGATCGTGGACACCATGATGTGTGCGGGCTACGTCCAAACCGGAGGTCGGGACGCCTGTCAGGTGGGTTTCACATAAATCGGTTTAGTTGGAACAATCGTCCCTTGAAGCTTACATTTTAATGAAGTGATTTTCTAAATTATTAGTTAGAAAAAGGTGTTTAGTTAGCTTAAAAAAAGCAGATAAGTTGAGATTAATTTTGATATTCAGCAATTGATTTACATAAAACAAATTTAATCCTTTTACAAATCGTAAATTCTGCTTTTGGAAAAGCTTTCCTGTTTATAGCAAAACATTTAAATTAAAATGATCTTCAAAACTAAGGACAAATTTCCAACAATATCGGTATATTTTTAACTGAGTGTATAATAGTCTACCACTTTTGGTGAAAATCCTCAGGGTGACAGCGGTGGTCCCTTGATCGTCAGGGATCGCATTTTCCGGTTGGCTGGAGTTGTGTCCTTCGGCTACGGATGCGCCAAGCCCGATGCTCCCGGTGTCTACACTAGAGTCTCTCGGTACTTGGAATGGATTGCAGTGAACACAAGGGACTCTTGCTACTGCGTTAATTAGATTATAAAAATTTTGAAGCATTCTGAAATTATTTATGTATTTATTTTTTCGCCAATAAATATTATATATAATTAAAATGGTAAATTAGATTACTTTATTGATATATACAAATTAATTTTGGGATTACAAAACCATTCATATTGGATTTACGACTATGCCACATCCTTCGGTTGTCAATTTTAAGAATTGTGCAAAAGTACATAATTTAATTTTGTATTTTTACTAAGCTGCATTGTTGGACTTAAAAAAAATTGTTCTTATTATTAAAGTCTTTTAGGAAATATTACAAATAGGTGCATCACTTTTTTTGCCTTATGCCCCAGAGTTATTAAGACAAATATTTTCTTGGATCGTGGATAGACTTACGAAGACCCACGACCACATAAAAATCCAGTTCCGTTGCACGATCGCGGAGCTGTGTTTATTTATTTTTTCTGGGGAACTGGACCGTGTGTGACCCACGCAACTCCCTCAATCGACAGCTGGTTTTACTTTCTTAATGCAAAAGAAATACAAATTGTACAAATATTTTGTGAAAACAGGTTATGGAAACCCTAGCAGTGGCCTTTCACTTTTTGCCCCTCGAGAGTGTTTGCAGAAATCAATAAAACTCGAAGTCAGAGTTGAAGTTTGCTGAGCGAAAATCGAAGCCAAGGACGTTTTCCGCCGACTTTGCCTGACACATTGTTATCACTTGTCAAGGCCCCACTGCCGCCCTTCGTTTCGCGGAGTTGACAAAACTTTTATCTTTATCCCTTTGGGCCAGCCAGGCCGACTTGTGGCCGACAGTTGTTTAATGGATTTTCAAGTTATTTCTGGTATTTTGTTGTAGTTGCCGCTGCATGTCGCAGAAATACAGCGAAACAAAGATATCTCGGCGGAAAGAAACTCGTTTGTGGCTAGGGGCCAAAGAAAATGCCGCATAATTGCCGCCGCCACGACTCCGCAAAAAGGGGCGGGGCACCCAGAAGGGGCTGGCTGGCCACCGAATCGACAATGTTGTCAATGCTGGCTGCTCTGGCATTTGATTTTATTTTTAACTAGACTATAATTGATGCCAGGCACTGCAGGGTTATCGAGAAAGACTTTTGCGGAGGTGGCAGAGGGGAATCAGTGTGGAGTTCAGGGAACAGAGCCATTTATCTTAATTAAAAACGTGCCATCAGAAAAAGTTGTGTAGTAATATTCATGAACTAATACAACTGTTTAGCTAACTTACATATCCTTAGCAATACCTTTTGAAGTAATAGAAAATAAAGCGCGAACTTAATAACAGGTAGTGAAATATTAATATATATAACCACGAAAGTTTTCTACAACAAAAACTGAAATTAAGGTTTTGATTTTTATTTATGTTAAATCAAACTATTTTGGCTCATTTGTGTACTTTTGTTGGTTTTATGTTTCAGACAGGAGCACATCTTTATGATTTAAAATCGATAAATTCGCATTTTACAATCCCTTTATATAACTTGAGCAAGGCAGAAAAGGAAACCGAAGTCATTGTCCATTGTACAGTTTCGTCTTCAGTGAAGATACAAATTTCTCAAATGCCAGTTAAGTCGGATATATAGATTACCTTTGAAAGGAGGTGTTAGTATACAATTTATTATTTATTCAAAAACATTACTTTTAACTTAGCACTTTGGTGGCTTCTAGTCAGAGATCATGTGAGGTGATAACCTTCAGTCAAGGGTCGTTCGCAGCTTCTTGATGGAGTCGATCGTGGATTGGAGTTCCCTTCGGATGTTGGCACATTCGACAACCATATCCAGACAGTGGTCCCAATGCCGATTCGCTACTCTCAAGCTCTCTGGCACCAGACGGCCGAAGATGGTTGTGAGGGGCCGGAAGTATCTAAGGATCGGGTCAATTGGGTGTCGAGTGATCCTAAAGTATTTCCCGTGGGGGCTCGATGTTTCAATAACACGAGTGATTGCCTTGTAGGGTTGTCCTCTGGGCAATTGGGCCTCTGCTGAAGTTCGTTCAGATCCATGGTGCAATCTCACCCTGGCCAGGATTAGTCCGGCTCTACATGTCTGCTTGTTGACCAGCAAGTGCAGTAGGTCCTGGTCCTCCATAAGGTGAAACATTTGCAGGTGGAGACCATCTAGAAGACATCTGATATCCTCGTCGGAGGACTCTGATCTCGATTCACGCATCGGATCCTTCGATTCATCGGAGGGCACTTCGTTGTGGTTCATGGCTGGGTATTTCTTTTTCGAGCAAGGTATTTCTCTTCAACCAAATCGTAAAGTTCATAAAATATCGCTTTGAAATATGTCTGATTTGACTGCAAAATCGGAACAAAGCAAAGATATTTTTTTAAAGATCCAAATAAATAACTACAATTCTTAGCTCAGCCAATCTAGACAATAGTTTAAACTAAAAAATTTTTTTTTTCAACTCTTTTAAGTACAAGAAAAAAGTAAATTATAAAGATTGCAATTTGAATAATCTTGATTATATGGTTTCATTGCATATATTTAACAACCCAAAATGTAATTACTTTCAACTTAAGCAAAACAGAAGATCATAACTAGATAAGCTTATAATTTTGTCTCTTAACATATCTTACTAACCATCTTTTTAAATTAGTTTCCCAGAAAAAATGAACTAGTTCACACTTACTCCGCTTGAAACCAACTTGTTTGCCTTCAAATTTCTTGTATTTTTTTGTTGGTTTTGATGAATTTATCAGATTTGTTAGTCTGCCTTGGGATGAAGAGGGTTCGAGAAGGGAAAGGCACGCTTCGCTGGCTAATTTAACATAATTCTCACATAAATCGCAAGCGAGTTGGGTAGAGAAATTTTCACGCCTCGCTTAACGCATTTGGCTCGCATAGCAAAAATTCACTTCTTGGCTTATTTTCTTGCCTTTTTTGTTGGCCAATCCCTGCATGCTTTTCCATATTTCCAATATAGCAAAACAAATGTCCAAAATTGTACAAGACACGAGTTTTCGCTGCATCAACGCGGCACTTTGCTGGCAAACCGCAAAACATTTTAATAAATTGCCAGTTATTAGTTTCTTGCGGAGCGGCAGGAAAAAGTGCAATTAAAATGCATTCGAAATGGGGTGGTGTTGCGGAGTGGCGGGGTGAAACGGGGGGACAAAGGAAGTTCCGCAGCAAAAGAAATTAGCATAAGCATTGACTTTTTTCCAACGGGGAAGGAGAGGCAAAAAACTGTTGCGCTAGTTTCCCATAATTTGCCTCAGCAAAGATAATGAGCAAGAAAGAGTACCCAGGGGGATGGGGTGGAAAGCCGCGGGAAAACCGAGGGGCGGGCCACCCAGGGGGCGGGGAAACTGCGGTCAGTCGCATAGCAAATGGTGTGAAACTCTGCTCAAAACTGCGAAAGGGGCGAGGGGGCCTTTAGTGCCTTCATTGTTCATCGCTGCACTTGCTTTTTGTTGCTGTTATAATAGCCACCGCTTGCAATTTGCATAAATGTTTTTAATTAAATGCATTTAAAGCATATTTTTCAAACACAGCGGGCAAATTTGTTAATGAAATCGAATGAGGGGGAAATGGGAAGTACCTTAAAGTTATGGTTATTATGCCTAATATGGGAACTCGACAGGGAAAGTAGCAGTATCAAAACAATTGCTTTGCGTGGGGCATACCGATAAGAAATTTTGAAGGCTACTTCTAATGCGATAATTAACTTACATATTACAAGGTGTCTTGCTATTTTGGATAATTTCATAAATGACTAGCTTATAAACCTTAAAACAAAGTGTAAGGCTATCTTTAAATATCAACTTAAACTTTTAGCAAGTGATTTAAAAGTGCCCATTAGTTACCGAACAAAATCCATTCATTAGCCCTAATATTATATAACTCTGACGAAAAACTTTAATCAAGTGCCAGCCCACTTATCACTCCCTTGTCACTCGTAACTAACCGCATCTAAACTAACCATAAAATCAAGACAAAGACGGAGGCGATTAACTTGTTCCACGAACTTTCAAAATGCAACACAAGAAGAAAAGAAATAAAAAGAAAACCAAAAGATCCCACAACAAACTTGCCAAAAACTCGACTCAACCTCGGTTGTTTCCTTCCTTTGCACGACCAAACAAAAAAGGCAACCGCAAACTTTTTTGGTTTTTCGCTACCTCAAATGTGCAAAAAAAAATGTGCAAAAAAAAGTACAAAACAATTTATGTCAACTTTCTTTTTATCAAACAAAAAGAAGGAATCAACGTGTTGCAAAACGGCGGGGGGAAAAATTCCAAACAATTTTCAAAGCCACCGCAAAAATCTTGCACCACAGACTCCCACACAAAGTCAGGCAGTCAGGTGGGTTTTGTTGGCTCCGAACAGATGATTTAGCGACGGGTTTTTCTCTCCACCAGTTGCAGAGGTCCGTTGCAAGAAAGTTGCCGAATCACGCCGACTCCAGCCCCTTCCCCATTCCCTTCCCCATCCGAAGACCCCTCGCCCAGCCTTGGGTACATTTTTTGGGGGAGAGCAATCGAAAAGTATTCGATGGAGCTCTTCCTCGACGGACAGGTGACCAATAACCACGACACTGGTCGGTTCAGTTCTTAAACTTGTTTCAATTTACTGTATTTTTACCGCTACCGTTGTTGTTACTGAAGTTGTATACCCTTTTCGAGGAGTATCATTTTTGGTTAGGGGCCATAATTTGGGTACAGTCAGTGCCGTAGGCAAGGGGTGAGGGTTTTTAAGGGAATAAGCCCCACCATGCTAAAAATTAATAAAAAAAAACAATTGTAAATCCCCCTCCCCCAACATACAAATTCTTAAGCCGCCACTAAGTACAACTGTTTGATATTTAAATTCAATAAAAATTTCACATAAAATGTATAATTTTTTGTATCTCATTATATAACAATAAAAATTACACATTTGCCCATTAATGTATATACAATCAAAGAAAAGAACACATTCGTTTTTGACACAACTCGAAATGCAAGTTTATCAAAATTTAATGAGTCATTAGAGGAATACCTAATGATTTTATGTTGAGGATGTTGCTAGTAATTTTCTCGAGGGCATTTTATCTTCTGTATCAAAAGCTTTTCAATTATGTCGCTTTTATTTATTTCGGACTTTTGCGCCCGTCCTTACTTATCGTGTCTTTTTTTACTTTTTCATGTGGCTTTAACTGTTGTTTTGGCCGGTGCCCGGTAATTACCAATGTCGGGAGCAGGAACGAGAATTGGACCGGGATTGCGATTGCGATTGGGGCACGGCAAACGAGTCGAGTCAGTTCGTCGAGTCTCCGAACATCACAAATTTGAAATCAGTTTCATTATATAAATTGTTACCTTTAGACGATCTGGCAGACAGTTTGGGCCGGAGGTTGTAGCCCTCATTGAGCCAGTTTTTTTCTTAGCTGTCTTTTCTCCAACTCTGAGCGTTGATATATATTTCTCCCCTTTTTGGCATTCCTCTTTCAGATGAAAATTGCACACAATTTGTGCTGCATAATGTCAAAGTTGGTTTGGCTTTGGTGCGAAACGAATTTGATTGGGCATCCGTTGGATAGAAGTGGCTCAGAGTAACGCACTTGACTTCAATTAGACAGCGAGCACTTACCAATTGCCCGGTTTTCCCCAGTTCCCCACAATGCCCCCGTTTCCTTCGTCTACGTACTGGTCAAACAGCTTCCTCCTCGAAAATGGCAAACTGTGTCAGTCAGCAGCGACTTTGACTGGCATTTGTCTGCCATCCCACCGCAGTCCCTCTTTCAGTCCCGATTTTTTCACTCCCATCTCGACTTTCCTCAGCGCCCCATTTGGTCATTTTGTTTGCTCCTGCACTTAGGGAAAATTATTAGAAAACCACACCACTGCCCATCGCGAAAGAGCTTTTCCAGTTCTGATCAAGCACCAATGCCTTCTTCTCTGTTTTTCAGACTGTTTAGAGCTTAGCTTTTCTTTTAAATTAAAAAAGCGTTTAAAGACCGTTGTTAGTTTTTACCCACATAAATTTTACATTAAAATGACATATAATTTATAATTGGGTAAACTTAAATAATTAAATTTGTTTAGGCTAATCTTGCAATTTCAACAAGCTAATAAATAGCCTTTACTTTTAAATCAAAATGGAACAAAAAGCATTTTCGAAATCCAAAGACAACTTCCCTTTGTCTAAAATTGAAAGCCTATTTTACACTCTCAGTCAAATTTGTTGAGTGTATGTCTATGGTCAGCGGCTGCCAGTCAGCTGCCACTGACTATCCAGAACGCGCTGCTGCAGCCCAGATTCTGCTCCTTTGTTTGCTTCCCTGGCCCCGGGGCTCGGCTCCCTAACTGTTTGTGCTATCCCGAGTGTTGACTGACAGGTGCCGCCGGAGAATTTTGGCGCTACAAAGTGCATAAATAAAAATTTTTCCAGCTCTGTTGACAGTGGAACATGGCAGCGAAAGAAAAAGGGGAACGAAAGAGGACTGAGACCCAACAGATCTAATTAGATGAATGAGCAAGGGAAACGAGAAGAATATTGACAAGAAGCTTGTATTAGCTTAAAATGTTATTTTCTAAAGAATTATAAATTCAATACCCTTAATCCTGACTAGGACTATCACCGTTAGTGTCCAAATATTGGACTTTTTATCAATCTAGTATTTATTTAAAAATATTTGTCTTTTACAAATTCGGTAATATTTATTATAAGATTGGGTTGAAAATGTTCCACCTATGTTTTCTTTTTAAGAAAATTGAAACTAAGTCGTATTAAATATATTGCATTTTATTAAGTACCATTAAAAACCATTGAATAATCTTGTTATTTAAATCTATCGACTAGAGCCTTTGCGGTGTTCACTGAAAGATTCATAAGGTCGTCGATAATAAAATTAAAATATAATAAATTAAAAAATTATTCGTTTTTTAACTGATGTAAATATGGCTAAAAACATAATTTTACATACATTCTACATAAGTTTAACAATGTAGAATCGCCAACTTCAATTTGGATTGAAACCTTACTTACACCAACGTATTCATCAACGATCTCTTTTGAAAGCTTTAGCGAAGATGCCAACCGTAATCTTAGCTTAAGCTGGACCAAGAACCGTTGATCCGATACTCATGCCTTACATTTTTCTTCCCTGTTGGACTTTGACTTATTAAAACAATTTTACATTATTTGGACAAACAATAGAGCCGCGATTTTAATCATGAACGAAATCATTTTCTTAAATTCAATATCTATTTAAGTAAAATAGTGAAATTTATTTCATTAATAAAAACAATAATAATCTAGAAATAATAATAATAATCATGTATTTCATTTTCTCCCCAGGCCATAACTCGAAACTGCAAGAATGGCCTCCACAGAAAACGCTAATGGCACGACAGCGAAGACAGCCACCATGGAAGATGACTACATAACGGTAGTGGAAGTGGACGATCCCACGTCGTCCTCCAAGGATCGCCTGAAGAAGCTAGTCAAGCGGCAGAGCTCCGTGGCGGAGGACTCCTCGTTCATCACAGTGCTGACCATCAATGAGATGGAGCTGCTGCAGCGGCGACAGGAGGAGGAAGGTGGAAGTGCCCCACTGCCGCCAAAGGAGGAGCAAAAAGAGGATGTCACAGTGTTCCGATTGCCGGGTGAACGCCTCGGCTTTGGCCTTAAGTTCCAGGGCGGAACACGGAGCACAGAACTCGTTCAGAAGCTGTACATACAATCCTGCGCCGCCGACAGTCCCGCCTCCAAAGTGGCCACCAGTTGGGGGAATCTCCGCGAGGGCGATGAGATCGTCAGTATCGATGGTCGGGATGTCCGGCACATGACCCGCATCGATTGCGTTCGCGGACTCAAAGACAATGTGGCCATTCAGCTGGTGGTGCGCAATGGCCACGGGCAGAAGCCACCCAGCGAAGAGGATCCACAACAGCAGCTGGAGCAGCTCTCCATCACCCTCAATGCCCAGCCCCCTCCGCCGCCGCCTGTGCCACCAAGGAAACTGGTCAGGCGACAGAACTCCAGGGAGAACCAGGCGCAGTTGGTCATTGAAAAGCCACTGACTCCGCCGCCGGATGCGGAGTACTACCTGAATCTATTCACCGAATCCATCAAGGCCGGCTCCGAGTCGGATGACACTGCTAGCACCATCTCCACCGTCATCGACAAGTTCTCCATGGGCTCCAATTACTCCTCGGACAGCAGTCTCAATGGGCATGAGCTGGCCAAGGTTCTGCAACCGTTCACCCTTCTCGAGCAGGAGTTCCGGCCCTTGGAGCAGCCCTTGGGCCATGCCAAGTTGATCATCCCCGGCAACAACTACGAGAACGTTGAGTTCAAGACGGAGAAGGTCAACGTCTATGAGAACGTGGAGCTCAGAAGTCCGGAAACGACGCCCACGCCAAAGCCCAGGGTCCAATTGGCCACCGTGGAGCCGAAGAAGCGATCCATCATACCCATGCCACGAAAAATTCCAACCCCCAGCAAACTGCCCATCGAGGTGACTCCACCGCGGGTTCCCCCAATGGAGGAGCCCAAAACACCCACTAACGAGCAGCTGGACTCCCCCAAGACACCCACAAATGAGATTAAGGATTCACCCATCAGTGCTACCAAAATACCTAAGGCCAAGTTCTCGAGGGCCAAAACAGAGGGCGAGATCAAGCTGCACTTGCAGCCCTCAAAGCAGCAGTCTCCGCAGGGCAAATCACGTATACCCGTAGTCAGCACACCCACTCCAAAACCGGTGCCCAAGCCAGTGTCACCCACGCTAAATGGTACTCCACCGAGCTCAAACATCCCACGACTGTTGCAGAAGCAGAAATCCGAAACGGATCTCAAGCTGAACTTGTACAGAAGCAAGTCGAAGGAGTCGAGTCCCAGACCGCCCTTACAGAGAGCCAACTCGGCAGAGGCCCCAGAAAGGACCTTCATCCCGGTGCTTTTAAATGGCAGCTCGAAAAGCTCAAACTCCCTGGAGAGCATTAGTTCGAATGGAAGTAATAGCAGCGGAAATAGTGCAAGAACACCCAAGGGACCTAAGCCCAAGCCCCCAGAGCGGGTGCAATCCCTGCAGAAAACGCAAATACCCAAGCTGCAGGCCCTTCCAACTACGCCGCCCCAACCAATCCCCAAACTGAGCATGCAGACCTTCAAGCAGAGCCCACCCACACCCAGATCCACTCCTGTGGGAACCCCATCCCCGACCAGCAATCGGGAGATTCGCTTCAAGATTCAGACGTACGAGAGCAAGACCCAGGACGAAGACAAACTGCCCAGCCTATTTGACCTAGTGCACAGTCAGGATAAAGATAAGGATAAGGAAGGCGATCCACTCCAGACCCACAACAGTATCACCGCTCTTTTGGCCGCCGCCGCCGCCGAGGCCGCCGATCTCTCCCGGGAATCCCCTCCTCCGCTGGTCGTTGGGAAGTGCATGAAGATCGCGGATGATAATAACACCACCACCTGCTATTCGAGTTCCAGCAGCGGAGAGGAGGACGAGGATGATGTGGATGCCGCCAACAGGGAGTACGTATGCGAGGACGGGGAGAAGCTGGGACCTCCGGAGCTGATAAATGGACCCGGTCCCTCGGAGGCCTACTTCAACATGTTCTGGCACTCCAACATGCTGCCCACCATCGGCGAGGTCGAGGAGGAGTTCTCCTCCCTGGAACCGCAGTCCCTGACCAACGGGTGAGTAATGGGCTTTGATTAGCTGGAAAGTGTCAGTGGGGGGATAAGATAAGACTAAAGAGTGCCTCTAAGCCATGTTGTTGTCTAACGTTTTATAGAAACCATCCAGAAAAAGGAAAGCAAGTAGATTTTTTAATTTACATTACTAGTTAGACCAACTTTAGCTGGGTCGATTATGCAGATGAACGAAATCTTTTAGATTAGCACCATCAATTAATTTATTAAAAAATTAGATTCTGACAATTTATTAGTAAACACTTCATATTAAAATACAAGAAATTGTCAGCAAAATAGTTAGCTAATGAAAGCAAACACCGCTAAGTTGTCTACTTGTTCTAATCAGTAACTTTTATGGGTAAGGCTTATATGGCAAATATCGCTCGCCACTAAACCGTGAATATGGTGCTCTCGCTTAGTAGTGGGTAATTTACGAAAAGTTTTTTTTAGCAAATATAATAAAATTAGCAATTAAACATTCCTTTAATGTAATTTATTATAAAATGTGTCAATTATAGACATTTGTTGTCATATTATAGAGTGTTACGCTTTTGTGCAGTGACCAAGTCCATTGATGTAATAGGTTTTCTCACTGAAAATTCGTGTCGAAATAGCTAGGGGACTTTTCTAAAATTGTATCATCAAAAGATTGTTGCAAAAAAGTTTGTTATACATATCGACAGCCAAAGGCCAATAGCGAAAACAGTCAGCAGGGGCAAAGGGGTAGGGAGGTAGGCCCCACAAAAATAAAAAAAAAAACGAAGCAAATAAAAAACAAAGGCTGATAAGACAAAATGCCGGTGTGTTTACTAACACACTGATAAAGGGGACCCATCTACCCGATAAGGAGAAATGGGAATACGAAAATTGGAATCAGTGTGATTTTGGTAGCGTCGGGCGAAGGTTCGGAACTGATCGAACCTGTCTCTATTGACGTTTTGGTGAGCAGGTGTGATGGCAACAAGTCAATTAGCATATCACCTACTGATAAGAAGAGTAATTGTAATTACTGAGGTGTCGTTTTTTTTCGATTTTCATTTATATCCAGAAACCTTGTCAAATCAGAGGAGCCGAAGAAGTTGCCCAAAATGGAAAATGGAAGTGCCGGTGGACTGGCCCAGCTGACTGACGATAAGATTGCTGACCATGACGCAAGTGAAATAACTGTGAATAGTCGCAATGAAACCACCACGAACCAGACTCAGGAGATCAGCTCCAGTAGCTCCAGTTCCACGAAGAGTCAGAGGACCACGACGACGACTCGAGTGACCACCACCAAGACCAGTTCCTCCAGTAGCTCGTCGAGCAGTTCGTCCACCCTCATCCCAGACATAGCCTTCAAGCTGCAGCCCTATGAGGATAGGGAGGAGGCATTCCCAGAGCCCATTACCACCATCCACGAAGAACGACGTGTCCTCAGTGAGCAGAAGACCCTCAGCGAACTGAGGACCCGGGATGCCGTGACCGGCGAGGAACAGCTGGTGACCAGTGCCAATTCGAAATCGAGCAGCGCCCGCTTCAAGAAGATCAGCAGCAACGACAACCTGCTCGACCTCGGCGACGAGCAGGACATGCAGGAGCAGCCGTTGACCGCCACGATCACCCAGGAATCGAGTCTCAGGGAGCGGTTGGAGTGTCCTCAGGATAACCAGAGTATCGAGCGGGGTACTCTGACCCTATCCGAGCGGGGAAAGCAGCTGAGCGAGAACGAAGGACTCACCACCTACACGGAGTGTGAGACGAGCGAGAAGGAGTCCTATCTGGAGGCCCAACAGGTTCTCAATGGAGCTGGGAGCCCCAGTTCCCAGGATGAGAACGGTGACCTACCCACTTTCAAGCGAGAGCTCAGCGAAACCCTCACGGTGACCAACGATGTCGAAAAGCAGGTCACCAAAAAACTGGAACAGAGCAAAGAAATTGCTGGGAAAAAGGGGGCCAAGCTCCTCAAGAAAACCGACGAGGAGCGACGACTTGAGCAGGAGGCCCAAAAGCTGATCGAGAGCTACCAGAAAGTGAAGAAGGAGGCGGAGAAGCTCTACAAACTTGAATTGGCCGACGATGACCAGGGCTTTGACCTAAGTGCCTTCGAGCAGGTGGAGAAAGAGGATACGCCCCAAGTCTTTGAGGTAATTGAAAAGGAGCTCAAGGATTCCAGGCCAAGTGAGTCCACAGTCCAGCAGGGCGTTTCACTCATAGAAGAAGTGAAAGACTCTAAGCAGGAGGTGGAAAAAGAGGTTAATGTCTCTCGAGAAGAAGTTTCCCAAAAGGAACTCAAGGAGAACGACCGACAGTCACATCAGATAGTCACGGAAGAGGTCAACAAGCTCAAGGAAGTCTTACAGAGTGAAGTGAAACAGGAGGTCAAGGCCCTCAAGGAAGTCAAGGAAGAGGTCAAAGTTTCGCAGCAGAATGTCAAAGAAGAGGTGAAAAAAGAGGCTGTCAAAGTGGTGCACAAAGAAGTGAAAGGGATTCAAGAAATTACCCAAATCACAGGGACAACAAGTCACAAGGAGTCAACTCAAACAGTCACCGTCTCCAAAAAAGAAGTCACAGTTTCCTCGAAGCAAAGCCAAGATCCCGAAAAGTCCACTACAAAAGTGGAGATCATCTCGCCGACTCTGGAAGAAGACTTGGGCTATGTCCTCCACAAGCACATTATTCTTCCCCAGGAGAAGGTCAAGAAGGCGCCCACGCCGCTGCCAAAGCCGAAGCCCAAGCCTCCAGTGCCCACAAACAAGCCCAAAATGCCATCTAATTTGACCAAACCGAGGACACCACCTCCCCCAGTGCCCACGAAAAGGAGTGAGGTGGCGGGATCCGGTGGTAAGCCCACACCCACCCAGCGACGCAGCAGCTTGGAGACCGCCCAACTGCCCAAGCCCCTGGAACGCGTAATTGTGGGCGTGGAGCAGCGGGACGAGGCGGAAAAGCGCCAGCCAATTATCAACCTGGCCAGCGTGGACCTGCCAAATGTGGCGCCCAACGCACAACAAGCGGTTGCGGAAACGAGTCCTGTGGTGGAGATGCCGCCGGATGAGCTCCAATTCGAGAGCCACCAACTGCCGGATGATGGGCAAGGCCAAATGGACTCGCACCTGGAGTCAAATGACCTTCTCAGCGGGTCCTCCTCCTCGTCGGTGACCACGCCCATTACAACGCCAATTCTGGTGTCTGCCACCTCATCAATGGACTCGGTGCAAAGTGTCATCGAGGTCGTTAATGGCTTGCCCATCATCAGCAGTCAGCAGACTGACGACGACGACATTGATGAAGATGGACCGCAGGATGATGAGGTGCATTCGGAGGCCGAGGGACCAAAGGAAGCTAGTCCCGTCGAGGAGGTGACAACGTTGTCATTCGACAGAGAACACGAATCAGGTGAGAAAAGGCCAATAGTTGCTCCCAAATTTTATTAGGATTAAGTCGTTTGCTAGTGGAAATTCGTTGGACTTTTGACTTGCATTGACATATACATTTTTAAGGAAAAACATTTCAGATTGGCACATAATTTTCTATGGGTTTAAAATGACTTATTAAATAGTCTAAAATAATTTTATATTGTCACTGAAAATACTATGGTTTTAAAATCAATTTTAAAATTGTCTAAAATATATAGTGAAAAAATAAGTTATGATTTCGTAATGATTTTCACTAGTCAACTTTTGAGAATTCTAGTTCATTTTTTATACTTTAGGAAATAGGCCTCTCTAACACATATTTTGAATTCATTTTAAGTATCATATTTGCCAAACAAGAGTGAAAATAAAAAAATATATTATATTATTTTAAATATATAATAATAATCTTTATCAAGTATAGAATTCTACAATGCTAGTGTCGGTAAATCCCGAAAATCCTATTCAAAATAAATTTCAGGGTCCATATAAAATTAGTTTTCCAAATACTGTCGATAGCTCACATCCTACCAGAAATAATTTTCTTCACCAAAGCTTAACAAAACAGTTTATGGCTTGCAATTTCGCCAGTTGCAGTGGGTAAATTCCCGAGGCATTGCAAAGGATTTACGGCCTTTCACCCTTGCCCTTTCCTCGTTGCTTACTTATTTGATTTTGTGACAGTCTCGCAGTGAGTCCCCCAAAAACCGACGACGCACGCAATTATCAGCCACCAAATGAGTTTTACATGCAGCGCTGTGGTGGTCAGCCTGGAAACTCTGGACCCTCTGGTAACTTGTCACATTGACCGCAATTTTAGCTTCCTCTAGCCCCCGGCCACGCCTCCGCCGCCCGGCACCGCCCACTTTGGCCCATTGCGTATGCAAAACGGCCACTAATGGACTTTATGGCCGAGTTTTGTTTGGTCGGTCTCGGTTTTTATTTTTGGCGCGGGGGCTTTTAATGGCAGCCCTCCATGTGTGGGAATAATGTTGGTTTTTGGATATTGTTTTTATTGAGGAGATTATGCCATGTAAATTGAGTTTATCTTTCAATTTGTTACTTGATGGCTTTTAATTAGATTGAAAGGCCTTATCGGCCTTTCTAATTAGTTTGCTATCTTGGGCAAGGTGAAGCTGTTAATTGGCAAGCTATTCAAATGTCCAATAGTGGAAAGAGTCCAAATTTTCATTATTTAACTCGGTTATTTTACCTACGCCCTGATTCCCTACGCTAGCAAAACTTTGAATAACATCCACTGTTTTTTGAGCTATAATTAATTTTATACAGTCCAGATTTTATAATAATAAACAGTCAAGAAGGTAAACAAACAAGTTTTAATTTCAATAATAAACAAAAATCCCTCTAACCCGTAAGCCCAAAATAAATCACTGAAAGTGAATAAAACGAATATTTTATTACACCTATGGCCATTTCTCCTTCACATAATTGTTTGCGTTCAATATTTCATGTGTATTGGATTTGGGCCCCTTGCCTATATAAGGGAAAATTTGCATTTCATTTATGGGAAAAATCCAAGCGTACAAGGGCAGGGAAAGATTTTTCTTCCATATGAAGCCTGTAAAAATATTGGGGAAAATGTTTTAATTAAACAAAAAACAGGCAAATATTGGCACCAGTTCCTGACATCCCCTCCAATCTCCGCTCTGTTCATAGTTTCCCTGTACTCCGAGCACGCGCCAAAATATTTACATACCAAAATGCGTTTTTTGGGTGGCATCGGGATACTGGAATTGCGGATTGTGGGCTCAGATCTCTGTTTGGGGTGTGAAATAATAATGAAATTTGTCTGGCCAGGCCGCATCACATTTGCATATGCCAGGTTACAGTGGAGACGAATAGAGTATAAGTCTACAAGAGACTGAGGTTATAAATAATATATTTAAACATTATTTTGTCTTTGTTTAGGTAAAAAATTTGAAAATGTTGAAAGGAAAATAGAAAATTTGTTAAATAGTTTCTGATAAATAAAAAAAATTACAATGTCCTATTATTTTACTGCACTTCCCAATTGTCAAATTAAAATACATTTCTATTGTATCTTAATCAGGTTTTTGTTTTTGAAACTCCCTTTCGTTCAATCCAATCCCCAGCACAACCTCATTGCTTTTAGTGTTTTTTTATTTTCCGCCTGATAAACCTTAACAAATAAGCTTTTTTCACATAGCTATTATCGGTATTTCGGATTTCTCTTTGCACATATACAAATATTGTTATTTTTTCGGCGCTGGGCTCTGTCATTATTTTATGTGGCCGCGCAAATTTGCAATTAAAGCTGAACAAAAATATGCAAGGTTTTTATGCCCGTTACTCGTAGAGTAAAATGGTATACTGCATTCGTTGAGAAGTATGTAATAGGTAGAAGGACCGACCCTATAAGGTATATATACTCTTGATCAGATCTACTAGCCATATTTTTCTGTTTGTTGTTTCTTCGCAAACTACCTATTCAGTTTTAAAGCTATTTAACGGAATTTTCCCAAATTCTACTTTTTATCTAAAGAATCTTATAAGTTGGAACCGTCTGGAAATTAAAATAAAAAAGCTGAAAGGGTATATAAGCTTCGGCTTCAGATTTTCTCTTATGGCTTTTAATACGTTTTCAATACTGTGTTGTATTTTTTGTACCTTCCCTGCTTTTTCTAGGATTTTGTTGGTTATAATAAAAATAAATATGTTATATTTATACGCCATAATTAATATGTGGGTGTGCAAAATTTGTTGTGACCGTGAATTGTTAATTCCCAGACAACTGCATTGATAAGACCGATCATTCGATGGTACTTGGACCTTATCTGAGAGCGGTGTTTCCGTGTTTATGATGACCATATGGCCAAAGCTCCTATCGAGATAGTAATTAATTGTTTTTCCTCGGAGCGCCCGCAATATGGGGGTTCCCCCCACCTATATCCTCAGTATCCCACACAGTTGTCAATGAATTCGGCCACTGGGAACTCGATTGACTTTCGAGTCAGAGCCTGGGTCTGAGTTTGAATCTGAGTGACTGACTGACGTGCACCTCAGCAGCATATCTCCGACATAATTGCTTTTCGACCCCAACCCCTCTGCCGTCAGCCACTTGGGCAATCTACTGAATTTGGTTTGCGAACATTTATGGAATTGGCCAGCTGTGGTGGTGACACTATCTGTCCACATGTGTGTATCAGTGGGTACTAAATGTTTTTTATTTGAGGTTTGTACTTTCTCACTTTGCTCGCAAACTATTTTCATATAAACTATTTTTCAAATTTGTTTTTGACCAGAATAGAAGTTTCTTCGACATTTTAAGAAACATTTTCAAGCGATTTAACAATTATTTTTTAATTGGTAAAATAAGTATTCATTACCCGACCATAGTTTTACTTATTTAAATACGATTAATTTGTAACCTAATTTATCATTTACATGCTAATATTGTTTGGTAAATTTTAATATTTATTTAAATAGTGTTTTTAACCGTTGAATGGCCCGAGTTTCTCAGCTATTTACCAGCTGCTTGCCACCGACTGTGTTGTCTGTTTATTTGACAGGTATTTTCGACATTTGCAGGTCGAACACCCAGGAAGTCCCGATCTTTCCCCTCCTGACCCCTCCTCGTCAACCCTATTTGACCCGTCCAATTCTCGTATTTTGTGTGTGTGTCACGAGTGTTGCGCAAAATTTATCGCTTTTGTGAATTTGAAATTAATTTGAAATTAATTTTCAATTTCGATTTTCGCTGCAGTTTGGTTCAATTGGTTGTTTCTTTTGTTGGCTCTGTGCTGTTTTCCTGATGTAATTACATGCTCTCCTATTTGTTGCTATTGTTGTCATTGGCGCCTCGGGGTCCTTTGATTAGATTTTGTAGCTAATTTTATTGTGGTGCGGTTTTGCGGCTTTTTCAATTGTTTCGTTGCCAATGCGAAAAGTGTTGGCTGCGCAGTTGGGGAAATCCAAATCCGAATTGAATCCAATGTAAACTTCTGTTTAGTCTGCCGTACTGTGCTCATTCATTCGATATGTTTTCACTTTGCTGTTACATTTGCTTCGATTTTCAGTTCGGATTCTTCTGTGGGTTTTTATTTGTACACTGCCTTAAAAGTGCAACTCAATGTTGACCCATTACTTGTTCGATTTTTCGCTTTTCTTTTGCCACTCCCAGTTAAATATATGCGGGCCTGCAATGAAATATGGAAAAGTAAGTGTCCAAAGAGAAATGTCGTGGCTGGGACTCGGGATTACGTGTCCCGAGTGAGGGGAATTACGGTCCAGGGCTCACTCATTCATCCCATTCAGTCGGTCGGTCACTCATCCTCCGGCTTTTGTGACTTTCAGATGCTCATCATTTTTTTGCATATTTATAGAGCAGCAGCTTTTGAGCCCCGCGGACTCTCCATCAACTGCCAAATTAAACGCCATTTAACAGCAGTCACATTGAATCCATTCGAAATTTAGCTGCATTTTGTGGCTGTGGCTTTTTGATGCTTTGTGGCTTTGTCAAATATTTTTCTAATGGCAATTGCAGTTAGGCTTTTTTAACTGTTGGTTGATTAAAGACCACAGATTTTGTAATATAAAATTAACGATAGGAAGTTGAATTGTAAATCGAATTAGGTTGAAAATTCTGACATGAATGAATAATTTAAAAGCTGTATTTTTTGCATAAATGGGTCACAGTTCAAAAGTCGAAATCTTTCTTACTTTCAACATAATAACTATTTTTGTATGTATTTAAGGTAGTTGGTATGAAAGATACACAAATTTATTAAGGCATATTAGTCGTGAGTATTATTCAAATTAAATGGTTCAAGAGTCCAATTTCATAACCGTGATTCTTGAGATACCATACCATGATAATTTTGATACCAAATGGAAACGATTTTTAAATATTTCTCAAGCTGTTTCTTTTAATATTTTTGGTGAACCTCTTCAGTTGTGTTTTTTTTATTTGTTTTGATAGTTGCAGCTTAGATTCTATCAGTT